AGAAGGCTGATGCCACAGTCTAAGGTACCATGCGGGGCTCTAGTGCAGGAGAGCACACACTCTAAATCTGCTACACAGACCACCTAGCTTTCTGAGCACGTAACCATCCTTCCAGCCTGGAAGGCCTGTTACACTTGGATCCAATTCCCAACATGGGGAAACGTGGCTTTTCATAATTTGAACAAGTCTCTTAAAGAACCTCTCCTCCAGCTGAAGCACCACTCTCTCTCCCTCTCCCTCCCGGGGTGGGTTTGAATCCTAATTGAGAGCTCAGTTTGGAGAAGCACATCCTATCCATCCCTCAGGTTCCAATCCAAACCATTTCCCCCAGGTGACGAGATAATTAAGAGGGGACTGCCCTGTGGAGCTGTCAGGATGGGGACGAGTACAGGCTGGCCCTGGGGCAGCAGCTGGGAGCTCTGTCCCGGATGGTGGCTCTATCACCTACCAAGGCATGTATTTCTTTTTTATTGTGATAACCATTTTCATCGCACTGTGACCAGAGAACATGGTTTGTACAATATTAATTCCCTGAAAGGTGTTCAGATGTCTTTGTGAGCAATTTTCCCCCTAGTCCTCTCCCATTCCTAGGCTATTATTGAAATTGATGCTCCTTGAAAATTTTAAATCCAAGTTACAGGACAGAGAGTTAGGACCAAGGCCTGCTGAGAATTAAGAAATGCTTCCTAAAACCCACGTGGGATCAGGGCTGGCTTCACAGGCTCACCGCCCATGCCCGGAAGGGCCTGGGTTTGGTATCAGGCTCTGCTGTCACGGTCTTGAAATTCTGAGTGTGTTTTGAACAAGAAGACCCATATTTGTGTTTCACAGTGGACCCACTAAGTTGTAGTTGATCCTGCCTGGGGTTCTGGGGGACAACAAGGAACTGGGGGATTCAGTGGGTTCCTGTGGGCCATTTCAAGAGAGGTGGAGAGATGGAAGGAGGCAGTGGGAGATGGTGGGGTGAAGGAAGAAAGGAGCGGCGAGATGCTTCTCTGTCATTTACCTTACTGGGGCACACGCGTCTCTTTCACTCCCTAGAACATGCTTCATCCGGCCCTTACTACTCCATTTTCCCCACAGTTTCCTGCGGCTGGCTCAATTCAAATGCCTTCAGGTCTCAATTCAAATGACTTCCTCTGAAAGAAACCATGTCTACCTGCCCTGCTATTCATCCTAGCCTCGTGTTCTCTGCCTTTGTAACTCCTGTTATATTCTCGTGTTTTACTTACCAGTCTTCATGTTATCCCTGGACTTACCTCCTCTCCCCCTGCCCCCCATCAGAATGCAGGTTCCATGAAGGTGGGGCGACATCTATGCTCTTCTCCCACCCCATTCCTCAGGCATTCAACAGAACGGTAACTCCTGCTGGTCTTGGGCAAGTTATTCACTCTCTCTTCATCTCTAAGATGGAGAATAATGATCACAAGACGCAAGTGGAGCAACACAAACATCTAACAGTGTCTGGTGTGAAACAGGTGCTCGGTAAGAACTGATCAAATGAATGAATGAAACAGATGATTCTTGAGCCCCTGCTCCGTACAAAGTACTGTGCTAAGCAGTCATATTGTTTCACTTCTTGTTATTGACCCAGCTAACAGATGAAGAGACTGAGGCTCAGAGAGGTGGAATAACTTGCTCAAGGTCAGGCAGAAATAAATTAGTGGCTACCGGATTGCAAATCAGGTTTGTAGGTATGCAGAGCCTATGCCCTCCCCTCCCCACAGCCTCCCCGACTCCCAACTGTGGTAATCCTACACACTGCACGGGGCTTTGCCAGGCACAAGGTACATTTCTTTTCTCTTTTGTTTTTGAAGTAGTTTATTTTTTATTTTTCAGGTTTTTTTTTAATTGGGGAATTGGGGTAGGGGAACAGTGTTGGGGAGTTGGGGCAGGGGACCAGCCAAGTTGTTGTTCTTCAATCTTAGTTGTGGAGAGCACCCTCGTTGGCAGCTCCGTGGCCTCTAAGCTCAAGGTGCTGTGTTCAATCTTAGTTGCAGGTGGGTGTAGCCACCATCCCATGCGGGAGTCGAACCAGTAGCCTTGTTGTTAAGAGTGCACACTCTATCCACTGAGCCATCCAGGCAGTAGCTCAGCTCAAGGTGCCGAGTTCAGCCTTAGTTGCAGGCAGGCGTAGCCCACCATTGAACAGGCAACCTTGTTGTTAGGAGCACGTGCTCTCACCAGCTGAGCCATCCTGCCACCCATTGGTAGCTCAGCTCGGGCGCAGCTCACTGGCCCACGTGGGAATCAAACCATTGGCCCTATTGATCAGAGCTCACGCTCTTAAGCTAACTCTTAACCAACTGAACCACTCAGCCGGCCCACAAGATGCATTTCTTTACACCTGGTGTTCTATAATCATTTCACACCTCACACAACCCTGAAACACCCATGAGCCTTCCAACTTAGAAAATAGGAGTCCAATGCTGTGTGGAAAGTAGAGATCCGAATGAGGAGAAGGCATTGGAAGTCCAGTAGGGAGGAAGATTTAAGACCCCAGAGGCAAAAGATCATGAAAACGCAGAGAGAAAGCTGGGGCTCAGATTGGATTCCTGGGAGCTAGGGCCTGGAGCTCAGGAAGGCTGGATCAGAACAGATGGTGTGCGTGAGGCTTGTCAACTGGAGCAGACATATCAACAGATCCCGGTACCTGCTATTAGGATGAGGGTGATGGCAGCGTCCCTCTAAGGCCTGAGAGGACACCCTGTCAGCAGAGACTGGGGTGATGTCTGTGGCCCTCGGTGATCTCACCACCAGGATCTTACTCCACAGGTGACAATCTGCTCGTTACTTTTTGTCACACCTACTGCCCAATCTGTCCCCACACCTCCACGTAATAGACCCTCTTTTCCCCCTTTCCAATTTCATTATTTTTACAACTTTTATTGTTTAGTCAAAAAGCAATCTGCAGCTATGCAAGTGAAAATGGTTCAAAAGTTTTGCTCATTGGCAAAAACCCAAAATACCATAGATACCGTCATTAATTCTCTTTATAGTCAATGCAAAAGCTCTAGCATTTCTATTAATAGAGAAGCTAGCCCAAGCATCAAGTGGGTAATATCTGCAATGGGGGTTTGTAATTACCGATGTTAGTTCAGTCATGACACTAATAAAACGAGAGGAGGGGATGGCGGACGGGAGACCCCTACATGTAATCACGAGTGGGGAGCAGCTGCAACATCAGTGATTTTCCATCTCACCAGCAATTTGACAGCTGTACAAATTAGCAGGGAGAGGTGGAAACACCCAGAAAGTGCATGGAAGCCATTTTTGCTGAAACGGAAGGATTCTGAGAGAAACGGAAGGTGTAGAGACAAGAACATGAGGTTTTGGAGCCATGTGGGTGTCTGTCGAGATGATGCCGACCTTCATGGGACAGTCTGAGGTTACGTGCCTCTGAGCAGCAGATTACGGCCTGCCCAGGCCTGCACCAAGGGAAGAATGTATTCACGTTCTAACATCAGCTGTATAAACATCACCTATGTGAGCAAAACCTAAACAGGGCGCTAGTATAGCTCGGGGGGTGTGTGCATGTTCATTGCAGACATTTTAGAAAATATAAATAAACTTGAAGAAAACAAAAACTCGGGTCATCAAGAATGCCTTCCCTTCCCTTTTGGTATCAGAATATTGGCATGTTTCCTTCCAGCCTTTTTTCTGTCGACTAGCTGGGGTCAGCTCTAACACAGATAGCCCGTTCTTCCCAATGGCTAAACTGCTGCCCATTTGCAACTCCGTCTGCTTCCCCCACTGCTGGTGTCATGCCCACACCTCCTCTGGGCCAGCAGTCGCCCTGTTAAGAGGGATGTGACTGAAAGGTCTGGGTAGGAAGCTGAACAGCCCTGGGCTCTAACTCTGGGGACGATGCAAATTTTCTGTGTAACCTCGGACTCCTCCGAGGTCAGGATCCTCCTATGGGAATGGAGAAGGCTGCAGTCTGTGGTCTGATCTTTGACTGTTCTGGCAGCAGCGTGAATCTACCTCCCCTCCCAGAGATGAAGACCAAGATGAAAGCCGACGTAGCCCACCAAGGTGTGTGCAGGAGTGGCCTTGGGTGGGGACCACCTCTGGAGGCCAGGTGAAGGCACCCTGTTTCTTGCCAAAGCAAGGCAAAAAAATAATGACTCTCTCCATTGCCCAGGCTTTGCTGCAGAGGCTGGGATGGGGCAGAGATACTGCAGCCAGACGGGCAGCTGTGATTTCCGGAAGAATAACACGCCAAGGCTACAAAGGCAGCTCTGGGGAATGGGCTGCTTTGCGCCATCTGCAGGGGCCGTGGGCCCAGCCAGGACACCTCGAACTCCTTCCAGATGAGCGGCCCACCCAGGGCCTGTGGCGGCTTGAGTGGAGATGGTGGAGAGCAGCTCTGACATTGAATTTGAGCGGTCTCGCCCATCACCCGCCATCTAATCTTGCATCTGTGAATGTTGTTGCTTTTGTAAAATGTCTTGTGATTTTGCACACACATAGCTTACATGCTTATAACCCTTACACGCCCCAGGCGCTGTCCTAAGTGATGTCCATCTACTAACTCATTTACCTCTCACTGACCACCCTATGAGGTGGGTAGTGGGTTGAATACATGAAACGTCCAGTCTATAGGTCAAAAGTGGTCAAATGTTTGCCATTTGATGTGGTTTGTCCAAAAATCCTATGTCCACTTCATAGACAAGGGAATTGGACCCAGGTTGGACATGCAACTTGCCCAAGATCACATATTGGAGTCCGTCTGCAGCCACTCCCCCAGGCTGCCTCCCTGAAGGCTTGGCAGGCTGAGCTAGCTGGCATCCTGTCTCCTCTCACCTGAGCCAGCCAGTTATCCCCCCCACCCCCAAACACATCTGGGTCTCCCTGCAGATGTGTCCCCCAGACCCCAGAGTGGGCGCTCTGGCCACGGAAGGCCACAGCGCTCCCCAGGGTGCAGCAGGCGCTGGGTGGGGGCCACATCTGAAGGTGAGGTTAAGGCATGCAGCACCACCTGGCCTTCGGTGGGTTACCTCTCTGTGTCACTGTCACTGGATGCCACCTCTTCCAAAGCTGCCTGCAGGTCGGCAATCCTCCGGATGGACGTCTCCAGGTCTGTCTGGAGAGTCTGTCTCATTGCTGCGAGCTCCTCCACATATTTCTCCTGGAAACAGAGACCAGAGCACATGTTGGCCTTGGACAAGAACCCCAGCCACCTGCGAGAGCTCGCGGGGCAGAGAGACCCCGGGCTGAGCCTAGTGTTCACCAAGCACCTATGACACGGCGAGTACCCCATGATGGCCTCTCTCTGTGGATGGGCTTATCGGACCTTGAGATAGATGCTGTGAATTTTACACAGGAAATAGATGCTTGGGGGCCCCCAGAACCTGGCCCACAGACAGAGCTCACTCTCCTGCGCTGGGGGGGTCTGAACCCCGTGTGTCTGACCTCAGAGCCGTGCTTTGAATCTGCACCACCATGTTGTCTGGTGCAAAGCGGGCACTCAGTATACCTTGGATGGATGAATAAATGTATGAACCAATGAATGCTTCCCAGAACCATCACAGAAGCAGGTTCAGGGAGCTGAGTCTCTGCACCAGGGAAAGGACCCGGAGCAGAAGGCTGGGGATAGGACTGAACAACAATGGTTCCCTTTCAACTCTGTCACCTCAACTCCCCCCAACTTTCCATCCTCAAAGGCAGCAAAGGCAAAGATGGCAAACCCAGTAGGGCTCACCCCACCCCCACCCCCAGAGCAGGCCAACACCACTTGCGTTTACTGAGAGTTTTCTGGGCCCAGCATTGAGCTCAGTGTTTTAGGGTCCTGACCTCACTCACTCTTCACATGCCTGGCCACTGGGTCACTCTTACTGCTGCCGTTTCACAGATGAGAACCTGAGGTCTAGGGTAGCGAATGCTGACTGGCAGCGCTGCAGCTGAGCCTGGGGCCTCTGACTCTCGTCTCACTCCTCACCCCTTCACTCTCTGACAATGCCCTAATCAGATTTTGTTCAGATTCTGCAAAATCTTTGACTTCCATTTGCAACGCATTTCACATGCCCCTACCCTTTAACACAATGATTGTCCACTGAGGGTGAGTTTGCCCTCCAGAGGCCATTGAGCAATGTCTAGAAACATTTTTGGTTGTCACAACTTTGGAGGAAATGTTATTGGCATCTAGTGGGTAGAGGCCAGGGACACAGCCCAACATCCTATGATGCACAGGACAGCCCCCACTACAGAGCATTGCCAGTCCCCGATGTCAACAGCACCCAGTCTGAGAAACCCTGGGTTAAACCCAGAATCTACAGGAAAGAAATCAAAAGGCAGAACCAGTCTCCATACCCAAGGATACTCAGCGCAGTGCTATTTGATGACACAGAGAAGCCGAAAGCCGCCTCATCACCCAACAATTGGGAATGGTTAGGGGGATCACAGCATGTCACTTGGATGCCATTAGGCGGACATTAACATTAGAAATAAGAATTGCGGCAGCGTGGAATACTTCTGTGAAATAATGTTAAGCAAATGGAATAGAACAGAAAAATATCATGCCCATATCTATGCAAATACACACACACACACACACACACACACACACACACACTTGGAAAAATACTTGGAGAGTTGAGAGTATTTATAGATGAGGGTGAAGAGGGGTTGTGGATAGAATGTTTCTTTTAAGCTGTTCTCGTATGTTAAGTTTATTTTTTGACTGTTGTCTTAAGGAACACATATCAACTGATGACAGTGTGTGTGGAGGGGCGAAAATATAAGGATTTAGGGTCAGATCTAAGTGTAATTCTCAGCTCCCCACTGAACTCACTAGCTGTGTGTCTTTGCACAGTTTGCAGCCCCTCTCTGAGCCTGGGATCCTTTTTCTTTAGTTTGTAGATGAGAAAACTGAGGCCAACGAAGTCACTCAGGGCAGTTAGGAGCACAGCCCTGCTGTGAGCCCTGGTCTGTTCTGCTTCCAGGCCAGTGACGTTTCTGGGAGTGCATATGCACAGCAGCGAGGACCAGGGCTGCTCTCCATGATAAGGACATGCTCGGCTCTCCTTGGAGATCGGCGTCTGTGTGCCACAGTATTGCAAATCTGTGCCTTTCGATTGATTTTGTCTTTTCCAATTTGAGAGGGGGGGGGAGAGAGAGAGAGAGAGGAGTCTGAGAAAGCGCAAAGGCCAAGCTGAACTGATAAGAGCAGGGGCGGGTGGAGAGCTAGGGGTGGACTGAGAAGGGGCTGGCAGTAGGTAGAAGTTGAAGCTGCCAGCTGTGAAATCCCCACAGTGGTGCTGACAAGGTGAGAGACAACTGAGGCAGGGGCCCTGAGGCAGGAGGCCAGTGGAGTGTCAGAGAAAATAACACACACACACACACACACACACACACACACACTCACACACACACAACAGGATGGCCACAGGATGCCTGCCCCAGGGTGCCAGTATGTCGGCTCATAAAGACACCTAGGAAAGTGGCTGGGAGCAAAATCCCAGCGGCTTACAGAAGCAGCATTTGCACAAGCTCTGCTCCTTCCTCCTGGGCCGGGTCGATGGCATCTCTAGGCATCAGCCTCCTTTTCCCAGGAGACGAAGCACTGTGTCTCTGTATGACTCTATCCAAAGTCCACGTGTGAGCCATTTCAGACACGGGGTGAGTGTTCATTTAGAGGTGAGGACACCGAGGGCCAGGGCACCAAAATGAGCTGTCTGAGGTCACGCAGCCGGGAGACCACAGAGCCGAGATGGGCACGGAAGTCTTGGGTTCTCAGGTGAGAACTCTGTAGGCCACGTGTGTCGAGAGATGACAAAAGAACCCAGGTGTCCCCTCCCGGCTGTGCCTGGGTGAACACTGCCTAGGTCACTGACCTGCAGAGGGAGCATCTAGGGCCTAAAGTCTCAACCCCAGGGAGCTTCCCGGCAGGTGAGGGCAGCGATGGCGCAGGTACTGTCTCAGGGATGGGTGGCCCTGAGCCAGGACTGAACAGGTGGGCGGAGGAAAGAGGACCTGAGGTGGGTCAAACACATAATATCATGAAAGTGAAAAGTAGTTTCTGGAGCCAGGATGCCTGGGTTCGAATCCCTGCTCGAGCGCTCGATGGCTGTGTGACCTTCAGCGACCTTCCTGGTCCCTGTGGTTGAAAGGGGCAGTAGCAGCCCTCTGGACGCTTGGCGGAGAAGAAAGGCTTGACCAGCAGTGACCTTGCTATCATTTAATTCTCAGAGGAGAATGTAGAGCAATGGGGCGGGTGTCCCCGCGTCACTGAGGTTTGCAAGATCACTCATCAAATAAGGGGGCTGGAACACAGGACTGTGGCTCCAAAGCTCTTTCAGTATCCTGGGGAGGAAAGACGGGTGGAAAGCAAGGGCAGCATAGCAGGTGAGTTAGCGAGACAGAGAGGAGCGTTAAGAGCAAGGAAACCATCCACAGATGTGGGTACCTGGGCCAAGGACCTGTGCAGGGGACCTGTGCTACCTGCCATGCGCCACTGTGTCCCCTTGCCCTCTGCATCCCATCCTCTGTCTGCCACGGGACTCTCATCAGCTCTGTGGGAACACCCCGAGGAGACAGATTTGGGGAATTTATAGTCTGTGTAATCAGCAATCAGCAAACTTTTCCTGCTTTCACTTGAAAACCAGAGTCTGCTGATTACAGGGACCAAGTCATTAGGCGACATGGATGTGGTGCCCCAGTTTCCTGGGGCAGACAAAACAAGGCCCCATTCAGAGACCCCTCAAGAGACATGGAGTTGCCACACAGGATAAGGGGAACCCCCTGGCAGGCCTGGGAGTCTGGCCTGTTCCACCCACCATGACATCCGATTAACACAGCTCGGGGTTGGGTCAGGACTGCCACATGCGAACAGGGTTGCGCTTTAAAAACCAGATGTGAGCCTGGTCTTCTCTGTCATTATGTCTCCTTGGAGACTTGTAGCACGGAGAAGTTGGGGAGAAATTAGGATATGACTATTTAGACAGTAAGATGTATACAGCAGATATGCCCATATTAATCTATACCTACAATATAGTGACATTTACACTGTAATTGACAAACAACATACTAATATAGTACATTACATAATCATTATACACACACACACACACACACACCACACACAGAGACAAGGTCTGACAATTAAGTTTGTGAACTTGTTGCAACGATGTTGCTAACCTTTTTTGATATCAGAGGTATTCATTATGAATTTGTACCAACTGGACAAACAGTTAACCAAGTTTACTATTTGGAAGTGCTGAAAAGTCTGCGTGAAAAAGTTAGACGACCTGAACCTGAACTTTTCGCCAACAATTCATGGCTCTTGCATCACCACAATGCACCAGCTCACACGGCACTGTCTGTGGGGGAGTTTTTAGCCAGTAAACAAATAACTGTATTGGAACACCCTCCCTACTCACCTGATCTGGCCCCCAATGACTTCTTTCTTTACCCGAAGATAAAGGAAATATTGAAAGGAAGACATTTTTATGACATTCAGGATGTCAAGGGAACTATGACAACAGCTCTGATGGCCATTCCAGAAAGAGTTCCAAAATTGCTTTGAAGGGTGGACTAGGCACTGGCATCAGTGCACAGCTTCCCAAGGGGAGTACTTCGAAGGTGACTGTAGTGATAGTCAGCAATGAGGCAAGTAGCACTTTTTCTAGAGTGAGTTCGCAAACTTTATTATATATATACACACATGTATGTGTTTTATATCTATATCTATATTTATATTTACATTTATATTTATATACTGATGCTCCTTGACTTAAGATGGGATTACCTCCTGATAAACTCATCATAAGTTGAAAATATCATAAGTTGAAAATGCATTGAATACACCTCACCTGCCGAACATCATAGCTAAGTCCAGCTACCTTAAATGTGCTCAGAATACGTACATCACCAGTAACCCAATCGCAAATCGAGGGACATCTGTAGTTGCCTTACTCTTATTCTTCTCACCAGAAGCAGGAGACATGGAGAGGTGTTTTATAGACATGATGGTATGCAAAAACACAACACACAATATCCAGAAAACACTGGCAACACATACACTGTAGGGTATTGATTGATTACCCTCATGATCACATGGCTGACTGGGAGCTGTGGCTGCATGCTGCTGCTCAGTATCACGAGAGAGCATCATACTGCACATTACATATT